TGAATACTATAAAATGAACCAAGTACCAGTTGAAAGGCCAGACAACGAGCTCGGACCCGACGAAGTGGAGGCAGCTATGACTAAGATGAACAACCGTGAAGCTGTGGGCCCCAACCCATTCGAAGTCACACTCTCTAACAAACAGTGCAATACAGGCAGTTACAATATTAACGAAAAAGCACCGTTTATACACTCTAGACAAACAAGATCTGCATTTAATATTCATAGACCTCGAGAAGGTGTTTGATTGAGTACCGCGGAAAGTAGTTTGGCGATCTCTCAGAGCACAACCTCTGCCTGATTGTTACATACAAATTCTCCCTATGGATCAATACTTTCGAAAGTGCGTGAGCAGATCAAAGACAGAGCACTTGGAATGTGGTAGTGGTAAGGTCTCAAGCAAATGAAACATTAATCCCGAAAGTCGCACAAATTAAGTATCTAGCATTTGTGATCTCTAGTAAAGCCGATGTGGAAGCCGACGTGGGGCATAGAGTCGGCGTGGACTAGCAGAAATGGCTGTATTGAACTGGAGTCCTGTACGACCCGAATATGCCTATTCGCAAAAAGGACAAAGTGTACAGGATGGTGGTAAGATCCGCTATGCTATATGGGACAGGATACTGAACAGTAAAGAAAAATCATATGAATGACAAGGCTAAATAGGATCCGGAACGAATATGTTCCCTGCAGCTTCAAGATGGTTCCTGTGACAGAGAAACTTACACAGAGTTTCATGAGATAATGTGGCTACGTTATGCGCAGAAACGAGCGTCATGTTGTGAGAAAAGCGCTAAACCTCCCGGAGAACAAAAGAGGAAGAAATTTCAAAAATATTAGGAGAGCCGACTACACATAAAGTAACAATGAGCAAAGAAGAAGAGTAGGGCATCGTAAACTTTCTTCCAATATTTCTTATGAAGCCGAAAATTCAACAATCCCTTTTGGTCGGTCTTATTTACTTTCCAGATACCCAAAAGTCTAACAGGAAGACTTGTTGCCAATACCAGACAACAGTACAGAAGACAAGATATTGTTGGCCTGTACTGATGATTTAATATTACTAATAGAAGCAAACAGCATTAAAGTGATTGAAGAATAAGCAAAAGTGATAGTGTACAGTACACCGACCTTAACTGATAACTATGTATCGGTGCACCATAATGGTGCACCGATGAACGAACTGGTGCGACGAATTGTGATGGCCGTGAAGTGCGACCCATGTCGCCTCAAACGGTTGGTTGAAGAATACTGACAATCACGGCGACCGAGTAATATCGTACTGCACTTGCCTCCTCACCTGATTTATATTGAAGGTGTGGGAAATAAAGCCGCCTTCATCAAGCGGGTGTTAAATAATAACACTTAATTTACTTAGGCTTAGAAGATAGAGACTAGGAGGAAAAACATGGAAGGACAGATGGCACAGATAAAGGAGGAAAGGAATGTGCACAGTCAGACGATTCAAATAGCAAATACAGGGGATTGGGCGACGGTTTGCTTGAGATAGAGGAATGGTGACCCTCAGGGAGTGCTGCATAGGTTGCTGCATATTATTATTATTTATTAGCAGAAAAAGAGGAGTCGAAAGACTAGAAGGAAATGTCGAAATATATTTTAAAGAGTGCCGGAGAGTGAGCAGATGGATGTGAGAGTCCTTTAAAAAGATCCCGGTTTGGCATAAAATTGTTTGCTTTGTGCAAGTCTCAAACTTCATCTATAACATTTATAACATATACTGCACGTCACAGAAATCGGGCCACCCGAAAAATTTACGTATTATTCACCTTTTTAAGTATTGCTTATTGGTATTGCAATTAGAAAATAGGATTTAGATTCGGGCTTTTGAGCAGGCCAGTCCATTTTTGGAATACCAACTTCTTCAAGGTATTGTATTCAAGGTTGTTACGATCCTTGTCGTGTGTGGTCCATTGCCAACATATTCAGCATAAGGCATCATATGCTCTTCTAGGATTTCTGCTATGTATCGTTATGCTTTAATGCGCCTCAGTCAATAAAGTGTTTCATTTTAATTCTGTATTATACACCCAATTCTTTTCCGTTCGCATCTATCAATCTCAAGACACACGAGTTTGTCCAAGTGAATATTATATTCAGATTCATATTTATTTAAACAATGTACAAAAATGATACAATTTTACGTCAAAAAATACATTACAATAACTTGTATTTAGAAAATGAATCGTCGGTTAAAATTAAACAACCACAGTATTCTTGGACAGAATAAAGCTCTTTTTCCAGGAGCATATTCTTCGCAGAAGTTCGATATTCTTTGGTTCCATACTTTTCATTTCATATGGTAGTGCATTATAAAATTTCACGGCTATGTAGTGGTAAATTTTTTGTGATTTTTCCACTCGGTGAAACGGAATTACAATGTCTTCCTTGTAGCGGGTGTTGTGATCGTAATTGTCTGCATTGTTTTGAAGCGAATCTTTTTTGTTGTGAATATACTCAAGGCAGGTAAGTATAAAACAACAAGACAAGATATTTTTAATTTTTTGAAATGAGTTCTGCAGCTCTCATGAATTTTTAGCCCAGCTAGTATACGAGTTGCCTTTTTTGCATTATAAAAATGGCTTCCATTTCTCTTCATGCACCCCACGCAATAATCCCATACGTCGCTATGCTATGGAAATATGCAAAGTATACGTTACGCAGTATCTCTGGTGGTAGATTGCAACACAATATAAGGCATTGGATAATCGCTCTTTTAAGTCGGATATGTGTTCGGACCATTTAAGCGTTTCGGATATGGTAACTCTAAGGAACTTTATGGATTTATCAGTTACCTCATCATTTTGTTTTGTGTAAAAGGTGAGTACGTTTGTTTTTTCTTTATTTAGTTTTAATTTCTTTATGGAAAACCAGTGCTCTGCCTGTTCAATGTTTTGTTTTGTTTTTTCTTGAAGCTTCTTGATGTCACCACTTCTTGTAACGAAAGATGTATCATCTGCGTAAAGACAAATTAGCTCTGTTGGGATACTTTTTGGCAAATCATTAATATATATGAGGAATAGTAACGGTTCCAAGACCGAACCCTGAGTTACTCCAGTTGCCACTTCTATGCAAGTTTGACGTCGCCAAAAATCTGATTGTTTTCTTCCTTGCAAATATGATGCTAGAAATTTCAACGCATTCTATCTTACTCCATATGTTTGTAGTTTGCCTAATAATATTGAATAGTTCCCTAAATCGAAATCTTTGTTCATAGCTTCTATTACGCTGAGTAGGGCAGTTATTGCAGAACTTTGTTTTTGGTACCCATGTTGACAGATTGTAAGCAATTTGGTATCAAATACGGTTTCAAATATTTTTGATATGGTTGGTAAAATAGATATTGGTCTATGGTTATTGCATATACCTTTGTCTCCTTTCTTATATATAGGTGTTATGTTCACCATCTTGAGCTCTTTCGGAGACTCTCTTCTCTAGACATTTGTTTATGACAAAACAGAGGTGTTTGCTAATAATTGGTTAATAACTTCTTTTATTAGCTTTGTAGACAGTTCGTATTTATCTTTGGTATTTTTTGATTTTGGACTCTTTATTGTATTTCTGATCTGTAGCTCTCTTACTTCACCTAGTGACTCGACCACCAAGCTTGCCGAGTTGACCAAACAGAACATCAACAAGGCTGGTCGAAGATTGTGGACTATCTTTCGTGATTTCAATTGCTTAGTGCAAGGCGTCCAATTTATTTTTTAATTGTTCTATGTTTTTAGTTTTCCATTTTGGATTTGTACCCTAGCAGATTTTTTAATTTTCTTCTCAGGGAACGTACTTTGAAAGCATTTAATAATATATTTATGGAATATTGTAAAACAAATTTTCACGGCATTTTTGAGTATATGGGTGCCAACATGATAATGTCAACATGTTTTTAGTGTTCATTTTTCTACATTTTATTTGTATTTCCTTTTCTGTTTCAGAAGATAGTTGGAAAGTAGCAATCTGTGCCAAGTGTATGTATCGGAGTTAAGCTTTGCTAATGGTTGAAGTCATAAGAATTCTTTCTAATTTTTGCCAACGTACCAATTGCAGATGGATCTTCTCTTGTCATACGTTTATCTCTTTTGTATAAAGGTCCTTCCAAATAGGGGCAATACTGTCAACATCTGCATAAAAGCTGTCCAGTCTTGTCTACACAAAAGCTCAAATCAAATTCATTGTTTATTATAATTTATTGCGATTATAAAGTTTCAGCAGCTGTCATAGTACCAGACGAGGATGGTCGCTTTTTGGTAACACTGGTGGTTCGTTTAAGGTGAAGTCGCTTGCGACCGTTATAATTAATGTCAAATCAACCCGAAACTAGCCTCATATTGTAGCACCTCAACCTCGACAGTTGAGAAAAAGTTGAACGATATGTTTTAAACTAGGAATAGATTAATGCACAGGGATTATCTTTGGGTCCCAGCTTAATTGCTATAAAATTCGGGTATAAAAAATATTTGAAGGAGATATCTGGAAAAGAAAAACAATGTTTGAAGGTTTCGTGCAAACCGTAATGATGTACAGTGTGTTAATTAATTATCGTACCCGACGTCATTATTGCAAGTATGCAACCAATATCACAGTATTGGTATTATAATACGCGATTTGCGATATTGATTGCATACTTGCAATAATGATCGAGAGATATTAGAATGTATAGTAAGAGAAATCAATATGGTATCTTCATTATGTAATACTGATGTTGCTTCCAACATTCTGCAACAGCAAAGAAAATAAAAATTAGCCTGGACGTGAACCTTTAAAATTTATAAATTAATTCTACAGATTTCATTAAAAAATTGTTGACAGATAAAAGATTAGCATGGATATGAACCTTTCTTAACATATCAAAAATTTACTTTAAAATTGTTTAAAAACATACAAAATACTTTTTAACTCTCTTAAAAACATCGATTCCAATGATATACATAAATTAACTCAGCAGAATTAAGCAAAAACCTAATTTCCCGCCAAAACGTCTTTGACAGTTAGAACCTAACCAATAAAATCTTACGATTCCGGTTCTTTTAGCGCTTCGTTAAACATCTTGTTATTGTAATAACTCGTTTTTAACACATCTGAATCTGTTTTAAATTTTAAAATCCCATCAACTTCTTGTGTTTGTCCGTTATTTTTGTGTAAATCTATTAAAATGCCGATTGCACATTCACCAGGAAAGAACTACGTCGTTAAAAGAGGTACAAAAATATCAAAATTTATTTAATTAAATCTATAATTTTTGTAATTCCTTGTAGATGGTCGTAAAGAGCAAGTTTACTTCGATAAGATCACATCGAGGATCCAAAAACTGTGCTATGGGTTGAATATGGATTTTGTTGACCCAGTGAGTAATTTAAAAATGTTGTGTTGTAATAAAAATAAAACAGTAATTATATTTTTTGTAAAGGTGGACATTACCATGAAGGTTATTCAAGGTCTTTATCCAGGCGTTACCACAGTTGAGTTGGACACCTTAGCTGCTGAAACCGCTGCTACAAAAATTACAGACCATCCTGATTATGCAACACTTGCTGCTAGAATTGCTATGACTAATCTCCATAAAGAAACGAAGAAACAATTCTCAGGTAATGAAATTAACAAGGTATAATTCAAGAATCATCATGTCGCTACTTTTTAGGTCTTGTGTTAGTTCTAGTTTTACATTAATACTATCACTAGAACTACCAGAAGACCCAGAACTGGAATCATTTGGGTTTAGCCGTCTTGAGAGACATGCAGCTAAACCTGAATGCAGGGCCGGCTCCTGGTATTTTAGCACCCCTGTGCAAAATTGTATTATATGTACTTAAGATTTAAAGTTTGGCTTGCTGCACTTTATATCAATAGTATCATATCCAGATTGTTTAATCTTTCTTGTGACATTGTTCTAAGATAATTCTTTATTAGTTTTGAGAAAGACCTTTCCCCAGTAGCAACAACAATTGGAATAGTTAGCAAAATTCTTAATGCTACATTTAAATTTGAAAACTCACAAGTTAAACTGTTTTTATGAATGAAGTTCAAAACTTCTATGGGTGTTTGCTCGATAGTAGCAAAGAATTGTTGATCAGTCTTATTTCACAGCACAAATCTGAGGCAGTAATATTCCTCAGGCATTTTTCATCACTTAAGTCTGTAAGCTTAATTTCTAAGGTTTTACAATGTTGGAAAAGGTCTTCTTCAGGCATATTAGTTAAGGTGGAAATATTATGCAAGAAGAAAAATGTATCTGTATAATTCTTTAATTGTTCAAATTTTTCATAAATTGCTTGTATTAAGTATAGCCAAGAAAAAAAATATTTTTAAATTATGCTTTCAAGGTTTCTTCTCCGCATCATTTAATAACTGTGGATCAAATACACAATTTCAACATTACTACGTTTTTCCCAAAAAATATACAGGTGATCCAATAAAAATTAAAAAAATAAAAACCGAAACTTGGTCAAAAAATAAACAAAATTTTTAACAAAATAATTGCTAATGCGAATTAAACAAAAATATATTACTAAACCTAATCAGATTCGTCCTCATCATCGTCGTCACTTTGCGGTCCACCAGGTTCTTCATTTTCTGAATTTTCGTGTACGTTTATACATGGATTGATTAATAGTCTTATAATATCTGCGTTTAGTTTTTCTTTCTTTTTAAAAATCTGTCTCAATGAGGATATTATAATATTTATTCGTTATTGTCCTACTTATTTCCAAAGTGTGGCGTTCTCTGTATGCCCTCATATCTTTGAATCTGGCTTCTATTGCTTTTTCTGATAGAGCACCAATTGGCAGTATAGCATTTCTAATTATATCACCTCCATGTACTAAGTATCTTATGCACTGTAATAGGCATAAAATACCAAGGATATAAAGATACATATAATTTCACAGTTTTCTCTGCAAATTCGTTAAATACCACTCCCTCTGTTCCAAATTATGGTATACATTTCTCTTTACAATTTGTCTCAAATTATGGTATACAAAACTTTGGAAACTGCTTTATTGTATTTGTAAAATTAGTAATTCAGTTTGTAACTTAATTTAAACATACATTAATGAAAATTTTACAACTTTTTAATACAATTCAGCTGGTTCAATATAAACGCCCTTCATGGCGAAGCTTTTCTTTATTCATGAATTTTCATATTTTTCTCGATATCTATGCGTCTGAGAGCAAAAGCGTAAGAGAGCAATTTTGTTAAGAATACAATTTGCTACATTTTCGTTCGAAAAGTTTTTCTGTAGCATGCTCAGACTCAAATTTATTCAATTTTATAGTTGTTGCCTGCTAGGCCATCATGGTTGTCTCCATACACTTTTGTAGTGTCGAGAATACGTTATCTAACTTTTCTTTAGTTAATGCGTCGAAGGCACTTTTAACACAATCTATTAATATTTGATATTTTGAGAATTCCTGGCTTGAACCTAAGAAATAGTAATATCTATGGTAACATTGGTTATGAATTATGATATCTTGATTAATTATTACTAATTTTTATGGGAAACGTTTTTCTCTATCACCTTTAATTTTCTACTTATAACAAAATTTAACGCAGATGATTGTCAATTTTGATATTTAGAGAATTCCTGGCTTGAGCCTAAGAAGTGGTGATATCTATGGTGGCATTGACTATGGATTATGTTATCTTGATTTATTATCATTGATTTTTATGGGAAACGTTTTTCTCTATCATCTTTAATTTTCTACTTATAACAGAATTTAAGGCAGATGATTGTCAATTTTGATATTTTGAGAATTTCTGGCTTGAACCTAAGAAAGGGTGATATCTATGATAGCATTGGTTATGAATTATGTTGATTCATTATCATCAATTTTTATGAGAAATCTTTTTCTCTATCACCTTTAGTTTTCTACTTATAACAGAATTTAACACAGATGATTGTCAATTTTGATATTTTGAAAATTCCTGGCTTGAACCTAAGAAATGCTGATGTCTATAATAGCATTGGTTGTGAATTATATTATCTTGATTCATTATCATCAATTTTTATGGGAAACGTTTTTCTCTATCACTTTCAGTTTTTTAATCATAACAGAATTTAATGTAGATGATTGTCAATTTTGATAATTTGGAATTTTCTAGTTTGTACATAAGAAATGGTGATATCTAAGGTAGCATTGGTTATGAATTATGTTATCGTCATTCATTATCATTAATTTTTATGGGAAACGTTTTTCTCTATCATCTTTAATTTTCTACTTATAACAGAATTTAACGCACATGATTGTCAATTTTGATATTTTGAAAATTCCTGGCTTGAACCTAAGTTATGGGAAACGTTTTTCTCTATCACCTTTAGTTTTTTGAGTCATAACAGAATTTTATGTAGATGATTGTCAATTTTGATATTGTGGGATTCCCTGGGTTGTGCATAAGAAATTGAGATAACTATGGTGGTATTGCTTATGAATTATGTTATCTTGATCCATTATCATCAATTTGGAACAAATCAACTTGGATCTAACGGCTGATACAACGTTATCGTAATCATCCTTTTGCATTCTGCTGCGTTAATAGACTCGATATTTTTGGTCATCATTGTTCCTCTTATCCGGTTCTTGTTGTTTCTTTTTGCAGGTTTAAAGGTTTTTGCAAATTTAACCTTCGACAAACAGAACTCTAGTTTCTTTCATTAATTAAATTAAGATTACATTATATTATATTAAATAGATAGAAACTCGTTAATTCTCCAAACTTTCCTTAATCCATAAATTTTAGAGAAATGTATACCATAATTTGGGACAAAGGGAGTATTATATTAATTTCATATTCAGTATTAATTGTTTTTAATATTACTAAAAGTCGGTAAATTAATTCTTCGTTTATACCAGTAATCTACAAAGAAAACTTAACATTTTCAAAAAATCTTCTGGCAGTTTTACCATCATTAGTAGTACCACTTCCACCTGATGTTGGTATGTCAATTAATAAAAGCATATTACTTTTAAATTCGTTTTGAATTTTTTCTTTTCGTTTCTTCAACAATTCTTAATTATTCTTCCTTGCTTACCACTTTCTGAACGGTTTCTGACGGTAGGCTATATGAAGTATCGTTTCAAAAAAACGAATCCAAGCGTGGAGGATCGACATACTAAAGTTTAATTTATTTACATCTTTGTATGCTTTACTTCTTTCAATATTGTTTGTGCTCTTAGATGTTGCTCCACAAACATAACAGTTTAAGGTCGATGTATATGTAGAAATTGAGTTACACAATTTACCACCTACCATCTGGATACTCGATTCGCGGGAATTCAGGCTGAACCGCTCGCAGCAATTTTACCAGCACTTCCAACCATATTACCTTGGAGGCAAAGGCTAGAATTTGTCTTGGTTGTGCTGCCTTGATTCCACTCATGCGAATGTGGATATCTCCAAAAATGGATAACTTTAATGTTTGGAGGGCCACGCAGTCGCATAGAATGTATTCCGCCGATTCCCCCTCCTCACCGCATCCTCTGCAGATGTTGGTGTCACTTATTCCCATGTTCAGTAGATGCCAGTGTCCAGTGATTAGACCTATGACTAAAGGTAGGTTCTTCCTGGACAACCTCATAAATAAATCTGTTCGTTTATGGTCAGGGTAAATCAGAGCCTCCTTGGCTTGGCGACATCCTGGTGTCCTGTCCCAGTAGTTTAGAAACTTCTTACGTGTTTCATCTTTTTGAAGCTCTATTAAAGACCTTATTGTTGGGGCGATGAATGGTTCAGCGATCCCGGAAGTTCGCGTGCAGCTTTTTTTGCCAGTTTGTCCTCCATGTCATAAAGCTTATTTCCCAAATGACCCTTTGTCCAGCAGATCGTAATCTCATTGCTAGCGGCTGCCTCACAAAGCTTGTTATGGCAGTCCTCAAGCAACGAGGATGAACAGCGATACCGCCCGAGCGAGAGGAGGGCTTATCTGCAATCAGAATATATTATAATTTTTTGTTACTAATTTTCTTGGAAATTTCTTGAGCCGCCAGAGAAATGGCCACCAGCTCATTTATCGTTAGCCTCCCGCAGCCGGATCATTGTTGCTATCGCCGCCTCCTCAACGTGATAATTTAGAGGAGAAAGGCACAGTACATTCTCCATTGCTGCTGTTGGTGTGGTTATCATCGAGCCTGTAACGTAGAGACCAGCCAAACGTTGCAATTTTTGTAGTTGCAAAACAATCGTTTTATTTCTAACTCTTGGCCACTAGTTTACGGTGCCGTAAGTTAACATTGGACGTATCACTGCAATGTATTTGCACAGGGATATTTTGGGTGTTAAACCCCAGGAGGTCCCAACGGCTCTTCTGCACTGAGCGAACGCAGTGCAATTTACCATCTACCATGGTAAATTGCAATTTGTGTTCAATTTCATATTCGGTCCCAACTTTAGACGAAATCAATTCATTTATTTCTCTTTCAATTAGTTTCACTTCTTCTTGCGCTAATTGAGCGGTTCCCTTTGGGAACATAAACTTTATGGGTACGCAGTATCTCGTCGAAGATTGTCTAGGATTATGGCAAATAATTTTTTGGTTTTGTTTACCGTCTATATAGAAAACCTTTAACGGCACAAGCGACATGAGAAAGATGTCCATATCACTAACACCTTCATCTAAAAACCTTTGCTTGTACATTTTTTGGTCACTACTGGCATCGCAGCTCCACTTAGAAACCATTACGATTTTACCACCGTTATTCATTTGGAATTGTTACAAAAATTTCTTTTTGTGGCAGGAACATCCTTTCACTTAGATGATTTAATAAATTTTGAAGTTTAATTTTTGCCATAATTTCATCCGCTTCTATTGATTCACTTAATTTTCGCTTCAATTATCGCATTATAAGGGTATAAACGCAACCTTTTGAGGTTATACACGTTTCTTTGTAGTTGATATGCAGGTTTTGTTAATTTAGACTTTACAAATAAAGATAACGCTTCTTCAGGTGTTAACTGATTGTGAACATTTTTCGAAGGCTTTTTATACGAATCTAACACTTTTTTACCTCTTGTGGGAGACTTTGACGCCGCTTGCAATAATTTTCCTATAAAACGATGTCCTGTCGTTTTTTGGCTAACTTGTGCCGCAAATATTAATTCATCAGGTGAATAATTTTCACAAAGAGGTTTAATTTTTCTATATTTGCTTCGTCTACTACAATCACTAAAGGTACTGGATGGTCTCCCTTTTGTACAAGGGGTAGATTCTACCACGCTTTCAGTCCGAATCGTAAATTCGACTGCTAAAAATTACTTAAAAATCAATTTCTTTACAAAGGTCTATTTTGACATTTATAAAAATATTTTGGAATGATTGTTAAATGTAAAATCTGGAATTACACAATTTATCGAAATGATCATCGGTTCTAAAACTTTTAAGAACCTTTTCCAACGATTTTAATTTTTTAATTAAATCTACCAAGTTTATTTTAGTATTTTGAAGCATTTTACTTACAATATTGACATTTGAAAGAATATAATACCACAAAATTATTGCACATATAAATTTGAAACATTCCATTTTATTCTTAATAGACAATGCCATATTATGCTTTGTCTTTAAATCAAAGGACATTTCTCCATTTCCATTACTATCTACAGTTTCTTGTAATCCACCAAGAATTTCTGGTAAATTAAATCGCAAGGGCTTTATTGCCTCAATCCGACTTCCCCAGCGTGTATCTAATAATAGTTTAAGTGTTAAGTCACTGATTCTATCATTCATGACTTTCCATCGTTTCGTGTTGGAGGAAAAAAAGGTATACATCTCTTGTACAATTCCCTATTCCTAATTCACTACTAAATAATAAGTATGCGCAGTACAGGGTACGTAAAGTGCTCTTGGATTTATATCCAATATTTTTTTCTGAAGTTCGTTATGCCTTCCCTTCATATTCGCACCATTATCATACCCCTGGCCAAGGGCGTTGCCAGCTAGTGGGTTAGGGAGGCGCAGCACAAAAAGAAAATGAAAATGGGGGCTGGTAAAATAGCCCCCCAAGAAAAAAAGCAGACCAAATTATTTAGAACATAATTTTCGTAGGTTCTTAGCAAATAGTCAACCACATTATTAATAAAACCCTCAAAGTTTATTAAAACACTCATCATGGCAAGACCATTGAAACGACATTCTGCCATAGTGCTTCTAAGCCAGGTTTTTATTCTCCTCAAGCTGCAAAAAGATGCTTCAACAGTATATGTCGTGCAGGGTAAAGTGACCATAATTCTAAGGGATTTTCTCGTTTCAGGGAAAAAATTTCGGTCTCTTTTATGACATCCACAACACTTAGTTCTTTTGAGTCAGGTTTATCTTGCCATAGTTCGATTTTGTTGTTGATATTTGATAAATTGTAAAATTGGAAAAAGACAAAAAGGGACATGTCCAACATTTGAGCCGTGTGTACTTTAGATAAGGAAAATGATGGGGTGTTTTCTTCACAAAAGCGAACTTCAAGAGAATTAATAATCGAGACTAACAATAAGTATGGTATTATTAAAGACCTCCGCCAGAATTCTGAAGGGCTTGCTGCTGGGTGGTTGTGCCGATGTTGACTTCATGTCTTCTCCCAGTCCAAGTTTTTCTGCAACGATAGTAGTAGCGTTCCTAATAATTTCATCTGTGACGTTCTCTGGACCGTTACGATGGTTTTTTATCAATTGCAAAATGCGAATAATGTGCTGAGATGCCTTTATTGCATCTAAAGCTACGGATTGGAACACATTTACCACAGGTTCCATCATTGTCGAGTATTTGGCTATCAAAATAAGGCTGAGAATAAACGAAACTCTAGAAGCTGCTGCATGGAACTGTTAAGCATTTTTCTAGTCGCACAATTTCGTTCCCGTGGCAAGGTTTCTAAGGCCTCCATTATAATAAAAAAATTCTCTTTAAAAACTCTAATACTTTTGTGTTTCTCGCTCCAAATTGTTTCGCAAAGCCTGGAAATATTTGGTATCAATTTGCGTCTCAAAACTGATTTTTGAAAAAATGTAATAATATCTTTGATGTTCTGGATTTCAGACAGACTATTTAGATCATTAATGACGAGATTTAATTTCTGTGACGAGCAGTGAAAGAACAAAGCTTTTTTATATTTTCTGCGTAGGATTGCTTTCTTTCCTGGAGATCGTCGAACAACCGTCAAAACCTAAACCAACACATTTGTCCGGATCAAGCTCTTCTTTTGCCAAAAACTCATTTATTGCTTTTGCAATACATTTCGTATTCAAAGCATCAAGCTTGACGAATCCGAGAAATACTTCTTGAACTTCCTTGGTTTCCTAATCAAAATATCGCATCCCAATCGATGCTTGTTCAATACTCAAGATGTATATTTATTGTGTTTCAATTTTTTCTCGAATCTGCCTCCTGCCCCTCTCTGGCGTCGCCCTTACCCCTGACCACGCATACGTTTATAATTTATGTTATTTTCCTTTAAGAAGTTTAAAATGTACGAAGACAATCAATACAATTCCGATGGTGTCCGTCGTAATACAAAAATTTAAAAAATGGTTTTGAATATTATAACCCTGAAATGATCTGACAATAAAGGGTTCATTTGCGAAATCATTTCTATAAGTTATAAAAAATTACCATTATTTTCGTCAAAAAGTTTTGAATTTGTACCCCTAAGAGCTAAATTCTGCTTACTCAAGTACTGAATGCATAAAATAATTCTTTTAAGAATTCCATCCCATCTTTGTTTTTCTATATCGATTAATGACGTGCATCCACATCACTTTTCAAATTTAAAGTATTCCTTAACGATATTAATTGTTTAGAACATTTTATATGACTTAGTGAGCTTTCATGAACACTCAAAGCTTCTGACAAATGACGCCAATCAGTATAACCGCCATTGATTAATGCACTGTCCTGCCGTGGGAATGAAAATACCTTGCAATTGTAACAAAACACTGCATCTTTTGATGATGAGTAGAATAACCAACTTCTAGACACCAACTCATTACTTGGAAGGATCTTATTGTAGCACCTTTCAGAAAAGCTTCTCTTAGCACTGTTCTTAGGAAATGCTATACCTCTTACTTGTTCGGGTTTATTTTCGACTAAAACAACTCTATCTTTATCTTTAAACCTTGACTACATTCACCATCATCAGCTGTTATTATAGATAGGTCACATAGATAGATCATCATGATGTTCTTTATATTTTTCAAGATCGTCATCACTGTTTTAAGTATCTGAATTTTTCTTCACTTCTCCTTTATTTTTTGTTATGGTAGATTACATTGTTTTTCATCTTGATTGCCATTTCTATTTTCTTTGTTGAATCCACTTGCAGTTTACGTTGCTGGAACATTTTCAAAAATCTTGTAAGGTGAATGAAACCTGAATGTTTCTAGTTCTCGGTCTAGTGTTAGTTCTGGTTTTATACTAACACTATTACTAGAACTAACAGAAGACCTAGAACTAGAATCATTCGCGTTTAGCCGTCTTGAGAGACATGGGGTTAAATCCGAATGTTTCTAGTTTTTGGTGTAGTGTTAGTTTTAGTTTTGCACTAGAACTAACACAAGACCTAGAACTAGAATCATTCAGATTAAGCCTTCTTGAGAGACGTGCGGCTAAACCCGAATATTTCTAGTTGTAGGTTTAGTGTTAGTTCTAGTTTTACACTAGCACTATCAATAAAACTAAAACAAAACCTAGAACTAGAATCCTTGCGTCAGAAGCCACATGATGATTCTTAAATTTTGCCATTAACAATTCAATATTTTATTAAATTAATGGTTTGTTTTGATTTAGATGTAATTGAAGATTTGTACAACATGGTAAGCGAAAAACTTGATAAAAACACACCAATGATTTCTGAACAACATTATAAAATTATAATGAAAAATGCGGATCGTTTAAATTCTTGTATCATTTACGATCGTGATTTCTCATATAATTATTTTGGTTTTAAAACACTCGAACGTTCATATCTCCTAAAAATCAACGGAAAAATTGCTGAACGTCCCCAACATATGTTAATGCGCGTGGCCGTTGGGATTCACGGTGAAGACATTGAATCAGCTATTGAAACTTACAATTACATGTCTGAGAAGTATTTTACTCACGCGAGTCCGACTTTATTTGCCGCAGCGACACCTCGCCCACAAATGTCGTCATGTTTCTTAGTAATGATGCCGGAGGATTCAATCCAAGGCATTTTTAAATGTATCTCACAATGTGCTATTATATCAAAAAGTGCGGGAGGAATTGGAGTTAACGTCCATAATATTCGAGCACAAGGCACGATTATTGCTGGAACTAATGGTATTTCAAACGGTTTAGTACCAATGTTACGGGTTTTTAATAATACAGCTCGATATGTCGATCAAGGGGGTAATAAAAGACCTGGAGCGTTTGCAATTTATTTAGAACCGTGGCATGCGGATGTTGTTGATTTTTTAAATTTAAAAAAAAATACTGGGGCTGAAGAAGTTAGGGCGAGAGATTTATTTTATGCTTTATGGATTCCTGATTTATTTATGAAACGCGTCGAGGAAGATTCAATGTGGTCGCTAATGTGTCCTCATCAATGTCCCGGTTTATCTGATTGTTGGGGGGAAAAATTCGTGGAATTATACGAAAATTACGAAAAAAGGAAAAAATTTGTTCGCCAAATACCCGCCAGAGAATTATGGAAAGCCATAATTGTGTCTCAAATTGAAACTGGAACTCCATATATGTTGTATAAAGACGCTTGTAATCGCAAAAGTAACCAACAACATTTAGGTACAATAAAAAGTAGCAATTTATGCACCGAAATCATTGAATACACATCTCCTGATGAAATCGCAGTTTGTAATTTAGCATCAATTGCGGTTAACCAGTTCGTTAAACCCGACAGGAAAAGTTTTGATTTTGAAAAATTAAAAATCGTCACAAAAGTTGTAACAAAAAATTTAAATAAAGTTATCGATGTTAATTATTACCCACTCCCAGAAGCTGAAACGTCCAATAAACGCCATCGCCCCATTGGAATTGGTATTCAAGGATTAGCAGATGCTTTTATTTTGATGAGACTCCCCTTTGATAGCCCCGAAGCCCATAAATTAAACGTGCAAATCTTTGAAACGCTTTATTACGGTGCCTTAGAAGCTAGTTGTGAATTAGCCGAAAAAGACGGGGTTTATGAAACTTACCAAGGTTCCCCTGTTAGTAAAGGAATCTTGCAATACGATATGTGGAATGTTACTCCATCTGATTTATGGGATTGGAAAGAATTAAAAGAAAAAATTAATAAACACGGAATAAGAAATTCTTTACTCTTAGCCCCAATGCCAACAGCTTCAACAGCTCAAATTCTAGGAAATAACGAATCTTTTGAACCTTACACATCGAATATTTATACGCGAAGAGTACTTTCTGGGGATTTCCAAGTTGTTAATCACCACTTATTAAGAGATTTAACCGAAAGGGGGCTTTGGGATGATTTAATGAAAAATCAAATAATTGCAAATCGCGGCTCAATTCAAAACATCCCCCAAATCCCTGACGATTTAAAAGAAATTTATAAAACAGTTTGGGAAATTTCAAATAAATGCATCATAAATCAAGCCGCGGCTCGAGGGGCTTTCATCGATCAAAGCCAATCTTTAAATCTTTACGTAGCCAAACCGACTTACTCCGTTTTAACATCAATTCATTTTTACGGCTGGCGACAAGGACTTAAAACAGGAATGTATTATTTAAGAACGAAACCCGCAGCTCAACCCATTCAATTCACCGTCGATAAAAGCAAATTAATAATAAACGTTGGTGATGGAGTTTCAAGTGGAGCAAGCTCCATTGGAATTAACACTAATGGTGTTAAAAAAGAGAAAGATGAAGATGAAGAAAATGCAGCATTAGTTTGTTCGTTACAAAACCCCGGAAATTGTGATATGTGTGGGGCTTAAAATATGATTTAAATTTAATAATTTTAACTACTTTTAATTTAATAACATTAAAAATAACAAATAAAAGATTAATTTAATTTTATTTTAATGGAACTTATTTCTTAAATGCACCACTTGCGTTAAATCACTATAAAGCGCTCAAAATTCGTTATTTCCAACCTCATTTTTCATTTTCTAATCTCATCACTAAGTTGCATATTTTTATTAAACTAACAAAAGACCTAGAATCATTCGGGTTTAGCCGTCTTGAGAGACGTGTGGCTAAATCCGAATGTTTCTATCTTATGTTCTGTTTATCAATAAAGCGAACTACCAGCGTTCATATAATTCATCAACAACTATTATATTGTATTTACTTTATTAACCAACAGTGTACACGACTATAATAATTTTTGATACAAGTACAAGTGACATGCGAGCGTCTCTTTTATTATTGTCTTGGCGGAAACGTGTCAACAACATGAAATTATTCCGATACCAACATAAGCTTTGTTCGTTGGGACTGCACGACATGGCACTCGTATGACGTCATAGTGCAATAAAATGTAAATAAGTGCAATGTCATGTCAACTTAGTGCAGGTATGGTGCAGGTCAGAAAAGTGTGTAAACCATGGTCGCAACGAACAGATTTTTATAAAAGAAAGTGTATAATATTTGAAATGGACGAACAGGAGATTGTCAGCGAAATACTCGTAGAAAATGAAATCATCGCAGAATGTTTTTTTAGTAGCGATTCATCAATTATTACTATATTATTATTATTATTTTTTATTTTTTTTTTTTCAATTATTAGCGAAATACATTTTCTACATCAAACTACTAACCCTTATAAGTTCTTTCAAAAGTACTACTTAACGTATAAAGAAATCACATGCTAAATTGCACCAAAATCGATAAGCAGTACTTGCAAAAAATAAAATTTGGGGTGGTGNTTTCATATAAAGATTAAACTTTTGTTTCCAAATAACCCATGTTTCCGCAGGATTATTAGAAAAATCTAATGTTTTCGGTGGTTTAAACTCCATTTTATGCACTTTTTTTTTTCTTTTATACACCTGACACCATATCTTATGTTCTGTTTATCAATAAAGCGAACTACCAGCGTTCATATAATTCATCAACAACTATTATATTGTATTTACTTTATTAACCAACAGTTATAATTTTTATACAAGTCCAAACAAGTACAAACAAGCGACATGCAAGCGTCTCTCTTATTATTGTCTTGGCGGGCACGTGCCAGCAACATGAAGTTGTTCCGATATCAACATAAATAACAATAATGTTACTACATTATATAACACGCCCCTTTTAAATCAAAATAAATTATTAAGGATGTAAAAAAATCTAAAATTACAAGACAAAATCGGTTAAATAATTAGGTACTTTACGTCGTCGTTCGGGTCTTAAATTATTACGTTCTACAGGTTCAATATTTTCGTTGTTTTGTGTAGTAGTTTCTATATTTGTGGTAGTAGGTTGAGTAATCGTTATCGTTTTAGATATCAAATTAGAGGTAAAATATTTATTTTCAATTAGATCCATGTCATAAATTAATGAATTTTTAATATTACTTTTAAACTCAAAGTTTGACTTGATTAAAAATTTTCTATTTCTTCTGTACTTTCGTCCTTCTTCATTTAGCACCTCATAAGATCTATCATCTATCATTAACTCTTCCTACTATCTTCCCTCTTTTCCATTGATGATTAATTAGATTTTGAATTATAACAGTGTCATTAATAATCAATGGTTTTAAATCTTTTACATTTCTATCATAAAAAATGTTTTGACTTTTCTGCTTATCACTCATTTTTTTCTTTATTATTTCTTTTTCTATTATTTTTGGTTCTAAATCTTTATTTGTTATTGGCATTTTTGTTTTAATCTTTCTATTTAACAATAGCTGAGCAGGGGAAAATCTTAATTGTGGTAAAGGAGCATTTTTGTATTCAGTTAAAGTAATTATAAAATCACTATAACTTTTACATTTTTTTAACATCTTTTTTGCAATTCCTACTGCTTTTTCTGCTAATCCGTTTGATTAACTATTATAAGGACTAGAAAATTCGTTTTTGAAATTCCAATTATTAGCAAAGATTTTCATTTTTGTTAAATTAAACGGTATGTTATCGGATATTAAAATATCTGGTGCACCGAATCTACTCTATCCAGTTTGAATAAAAATCCACCAAGACAAAGAAAATCTTACCTTTATTCCCATGATGTTGTCGGAATTTTTCTGTTCAATAATGGTAATTTTGTACTAGAGTTCCTGTGAATTTGACAAACTTGACAATCATTTACAAATCTTTCTATATCTTTCGTCATGTTGTTCCAATAAAATATTTGTCTTGCTCTTAATTTACACTTTTCCCTACCCAAGTGTCCTTCATGTATAATAGCCAACATATCCCGTCTTAATTTTTTTGGTACTAATAATTTAGTGTTTTTAAATATTAACTAACCCATTCGAAATATTCATCTCTAAACCTAAAATACATTTTAAGTTCAGGGCTCAAATTTTTTATGTGATTGGGCCATTTCGTATCTATAAAGAATTTTAATTGGGATAATATTTCATCACCCATCGTCTCTTTCTTAAATGATTCCTTTCTTTGTTCACTCATGTTTAAATTCATATACAATGTATGAATTATATATTCCATTTCTGGGTCATCAGGAATTACATCATTCAAAAATGATCTTGACAATGTATATTCATGCAACATACATATCTTTACCTGGCACATATTTTATTCCCAAATCGTATTTTAATGATCTGAGTAACATTCTCTGCAGTCTTATCCAAATATTTTATTATCTCTTTTCAGTTGTTGTTAAAGCTCGTGATGCAAAAGCAATTAGTTTTTCCTGCATTAAACAACTACCTAAGCTTTCACTTAACGCATCCGCTTGAATTATGATGGATTTTGAGGAATCAAATATTCCTAAAGTGGGCACTTTAGTTAGTAAGTCTTTTAAATAATCTAACTCTTTTTCATGTTCCTGTTTCCAAACAAATTTAACATTATTTTTCGTTAATTCTCTTATTTTGTATGTTAATTTTGACAAATTAGGAATATATTTTGTAAAAAATTTGAGTAGACCAAGAATTCTCAACAATTCTGTTTTGTTATTTGGTATTTTTAAGAAAATGCAGCATTAGTTTGTTCGTTACAAAACTCCGGAAATTGTGATATGAGTGGGGCTTAAAATATGACTTAAATTTAATTATTTTAACCACTTTTAATTTAATAACATTAAAAATACCAAATAAATCTAAAATTAAATTAATAATTTTATTTTAATGGAACTTGCTTCATAGATGGCACTACTTGCGTTTAAAAAACCGTTAAACGTCAAATGACTTTAAATGGCGGTTAAATCAGTATAAAGCGCGCAAAATTCGTTATTTCCAACCTCATTTTCCAACAAATTCCAAAGTAACTCGTCCAATATCAACTTAACAACCCCGTAACTCTAAAATTGATTAAAAACTAATCACCATCATTCATAAATTGGTTAAAATGTAAGTTTAAAAGTGATTTTTTGAGGTTAAATGATTACAAACCGTTAATATAAGGACCTTTAAAAATGGAGGAGATTAATTTAGAAGAAAACAACGCAGATTTAAGGCCTGTTTTATCTGAATTTAATAAAGGTAATGGAACGCCGAAAAAAGCATCGCCCGAGGAGATAATAATAATGCATCGGGGGCCGAGAAGAATTCCTGAGACGTGGTCGCCGTTGAATTTCAACAGGTGCGATTTGTTGTGTGCCCCAAAAGATAAAACGCCCGAAAAATACGTTAAACAACGACCGGAAATAAGTTCGAAATTAAGGAGAAGGTTAAATTTGAGTCCTTCGAAAGGTGAAACTGGTGATAGTGAGTTGATTAAGAAATTAAAGTGCCTTCCTAAATTTACTAACAACAATAAGAGTGATAATATGCCTTAATTTGGGATAAGATATAAAAGTAAGATGTCTTTTATTGTTTGTAAAAGATTTTGGTTTCATTTCTAATTAGATAATGTGCCTTATGATTAAACTAATGAAATAATTATTATAATATTATATTGTTTAGGATAGGGACAGATTTTTAAGTTAAAAATCATTAGAATGATATTAGTTTGTATAACGAAATAATAAAGTTAGTAATAATAGTTAATTTTATGAAGTATATTTCGAGACATAAAAATGTGATTTTGTATTGATTTTAATAAAGTTCTGTTATTTCTATATATTTGCCTTTTTATGGTTAATTGCCGTTATATTTTTGATGATTAGTCGAATCACGTTGACCTACAAAACATTTTTACTAATGACGCATAAAGATGTTTAATTTTTTCAATTCAAAGTTGGACAAGAAAGTTGTAAATCTTGGTCGGTGGGTTGCGCAGAAGGATTGCGACGGTAAATCCATTAATATAAACAAGTAAAGAAGTCACTTCATGGAATTTTAAGGATTTTACGACCTATTTTTAAAATTGTTATAAAACACTTAATAAATGTTTAAACTTGTTCGAGATCTTTCCCTGGCAAGTTTGTAAATGGCATTTACCCCTTATCATTTACCCGTTAAATATTTAAATACGAGGAGCACTTTTCCAAAACCAACTAAGTCCAAAATAATTATTCGTAGATAATAATAATAAACTGTTTATTAAGCCAGAAATAATGATAATAAGAATAAGATACAAAATTATTTGAACAGAAACAAAAAAAATCAATACAGGTCATCCACGACGACCGTCCATTAGAACTATATAGGGTTCTGTCCAAAATAAAAATTTGAAAATTCAGATTTAAGTATTATCAATTGCGTTCTTTTCGACTAAAATATTTTCAGATTTCTAGCACTTCCGGTTATGCCGGAAGTCACGACCTACTTTACTTTTTTAAATGGATCACCTGCAGTGGCGCCGACTACGGGGGGGCTGCTGGGCTTCAACCCCCCCGAAGTCGGCGCTACGGGGCTTGAGCCCCCCCGGAAAATTGTAAAAGTGTACAATTGTATTGTAAAAAGGTGCATCATTTGAAAAAGTTCTGCCCCCCCTTAAATATTAAAAAGTCGACGCCACTGATCTCCTGTATATTTCTAACTGGTGTGAAGTTATCCATAAATCCCAGCCATAAACTTAAAACATTAATAATTCCGTAACCAATACGATTTGGGTAACCAAATTTCACACACAGGTCACTCTTACCCTCGAGAACAGTTTACTACCCCATTTGGTAAAAAAAAATTTTTCTTTCCCACCCCAGAAAAATGGATGTTTTCACCCCGTTGGGCACCTCCAAAATTGATGAAACTTTAGGATGATTTA